TGATATATGAGGACTTTGATTACATGAGTACTAGCCATTAATTTCTCCTCATCTAGCTCTCATATTTCATCCACTGTCTCATTCCAAGACGCTATGACAGCGTAACTTTGGGCCTCTTCAGAGCTTTCTATTACCTTTCTTTAATAAGATCTTTGTGTCTATGGAGGGAAGGAAGGGCTTGCTTATTTTTACACTAAATTAACCTCATTTACCTTTCAGTAGAGCAGCAGGTTTATTGTGACTGAATTAGGTATCCTTCAATTCCTAGCTCTGAAATGATCCTAGGTATTTTGGGGAACGCGCTCTGCCCTCCTTTACGGACGTTTACCAACTCCAAACTACCTATCTATAGTAACAGTATATACAAAACTACTGCATCAGAAGTAAACCAAAGCCACTGCTCTAGTTACAAAGCACCTGGTTTACATTCTGTTGTACTTTAAGGTTGCAAAGGCACATGATCATTTGGCAAACTGCAAAGACTGTTTGGGGGGGATCCCTATGTAAACCATTTAACAGAGGGCCGTGGTAGCTCTCTTTTCTACAGAAAAGATGTATGTTTGTTTTCACTTGAATTCACTCTTGGTGTACTCTCTCTTCTGCAGTTTTTAAACAGCTTCCTCCTTCCACAGTTTCCTAGTTATTTGCTGTTGTCACGGTGCTGAGTAGCTTCTGTGTTAGCATCCTTGAACTTAAAAGCAAAGGAAAAGTTTAACAACTTTGCTTTGCTCTGCTCTGCTCTTCTGGTAATTGTATTTACTAGGTAAGAAGTAATGAAGCAATGAAGAAAGAGGTTTAAAATGCATGCCAAAACAAAGTGCAAACACGTATCAACAAGGCTGCAGGATACAGAAAGTTCGTTTCATGAACCTCTATGCAAAATCTGTAACAGAAAACCAGATCACCCACCACCTTCCAAGTGATGCTGTAACAGTCCACTCATGCAGCTGCTTTTGAACCGACCTTGACTGTACCTAGAAGCTCTGCCCATTGCGTTGTGCTACTGGTGATGCTTTTTTCAACAGAGACGCGCTGTCTACAGTACTATGAATAGGTTGTGCTACACATGCTGCACTCACAGTCAAGAAGGGAATGAAATCTATAGGCTGCAAAAGTGTGAAATGCCTACGTGCTTCTTCCCTAAATTTAGCCCCTTCAGCTATCAAGACTTCAACCTGTACTTGTTTGTGAGGTTTCTGGGGATCTGGCTTCCCCAGACATTCTGTAAAATGCTGGATGCATTTACATCACCAGGCAAACACAGAAGCAAACCTATTTACGTGTGATCTTTAGTGTATTTTTTCCCCTCAATTTGGGCATTTGTGGAAGGATGTGGTATTCATCAACAGTCAGCATTTCATTCATTTTATGTCATGAAGGCCAAATTCTGCCTCTAATGAGCACACACACAAGTCCAAGTAATGTTGGGAAGCCATGATAAGATGGCAGTATTTGGCCCCAAACATTCTGCATCATCATCATCTGCTAGAGCATTCAAGTACAAGAAAAGACTATTTTGTGTAAGCATAAAAAGCAGAAGTGGATTCATTTAATGACCTGCATGAGTTTAGCAAAAAAGAAACGACCGGGCTAATTGTATCTGGGGCCATGTAGGACTTAATTCACACACAAATTACTTTCAAAATAACCAGGCCTCTATGCTCATAGGATTTGGCTTAAGCTTCACTACAACATTTCAGCAAATATGCTGCAGGAAACCATCGTGTACTGACAGGGAAGATGTAATAGCTAACAGCCCTCTTCTAACTGTATGGAAAAGGAAGAGCACAGGGGAAGGTGTCTGTGTGGTTAATAAAGATGTGAATAGCTGGGACTGGATACTGACAGTATCCGGTACTGCCACTGGTAGATTTGCATCTGGAATATTGTGTTCAGTTCTGGGCTCCTCAGTTCAAGAAGGACAGGAAATTGCTTGAAAGAGTCCAGCACAGAGCCACAAAGGTGATTGCGGGAGTGGAGCATCTCCCTTGTGAGGAGCAGCTGAGGGAGCTGGGTCTCTTTAGCTTGGAGAAGAGGAGACTGAGGGGAGACCTCATTAAAGTTTATAAATTTGTAAAGGGCGAGTGTCAGGAGGAAGGAGCCAGGCTCTTCTCAGTGACAGCCAATGACAGGACAAGGGGCAATGGGTGCAAGCTGGAGCATGGGAGGTTCAATCTGAATATGAGTGAAAACTTTTTTACTGTGAGAGTGACAGAGCAGGGGGGTTGGACTGAATGATCTTTCAAGGTCCCTTCCAACCCCTACCATTCTGTGATTCTAGTAGTTTCACAAATAATTATTAGATACCAGATACCGCAGAGCTGGAAGTAGTATGACTGCCTAGATGTTTGTCCCAACACACACACACAAAACATGTGCTAACATTCCCATACTATGGCATGTGCTTGTGGCTGGGACACCACAGAAAAGCTTAAGAAATCTGGTGTAACGGACATGAAGGTATTGGTCATTTCATTTTACTTCATCCCACTGCTGGATGGGGCACTCAGTTCTTGTCTACTCTCATCTCCCCATTCACTAAACTTCTATAACCAAGACTGGTTCAGATGGCGTGCAAGACGTCCAGAAAAACTCCTGAAGGAAAATATGAAAAAAAAAATAATCCCAATTATTTACAAATTGAATTTCTTCCAGAGTTCTGCATGAGTATTACATGAGACCTCTTACAGACAAATGCACATTACTACAGCTATGTGGAGGGAAACAAATGTGAAAACCAGTAGAAATGCATCCTGAAAGGACTTCTCTAAAACAGCAGCCAAACAACTTGCACATTCCTCAGGGAAAAAAAAATAAACAGGAAAACAAAACTACAAACAAACCCCAATAAAAAAAACCCCACAAAGATCACGTGTTACTTATAAAGTGCTTTGCATGGAACAAGGATAGCCATTTTCCTTGTGCTTTTCCTATGGGCTCAAAAAGCATATTGTAGACTAATGGGTAATGAATCTTCACAAAAATAAGTTCATTTTAAGCAAAGATGGAATGAAATTCCTAACAGTTATATTTTAGCAGACAATATTCTGCCAGCATGACCTTGTGGAAGGAAACCAGGGCTTTTAACAAGCTCGGTGAAACAAATGACTGTTGAACCACCTGTACATACTTGCTCCAGTAACAGTTTCTTTCGAGAGAATATTAATTTTCAGTATGCCCGACATGTGCAAATGAGGCCAGGGCCCATAGAGGGGTTGGAGGGAGAATGAGCAGTGACTACTTCGCCCTCTGCGAGTCTGCCTCTGTAAATGCTCTCACCTGCCTGCTGACCCCAGCAGCCCCAGGCTCCTTCCACCTCTTAGGCACTGGCCCCCGAAGACGACCAAGGAGCACTCCGATTTCACCAGTCTGCACACCCACCACTCACTCATCAGCTACTCCACACTGGAAAGTGGCTATTGCTACTATTTAAATTCCTGCCAATCTCAGTAAGGAAAAAAACCCCTAACCCTTACAGCATCTGAAGACCCACAGCAGACAAGAAAAAATTTGTGCTTTTTTTTGTTTTGTTTTTAAAATGCATCCTGTACACAAAATCAGTTCTATTCATGTACCAACATGAATCACTTCATTCTTGTAGTGACTATTCAGTCATTCACTATTGCTGTCTTGCTAATGTTTGTGGAATTAATAAGAATACACAGTATTTCAATTATAATTCCCACTTCAGATTAGTCCGGTCCCTATAACCGCAGTAAATATTTACTGACAAACAGAACAGACTACCAGCAACACTGCAGAACTCCAGGGTTTTAAAAGCACGGCCCACTACTGATGTGCGTTTCTCCCTTCTCCTGGGAGCACCCTTCTGCAGTCAGGAACAGTCCAACTCTTCTAGGGAGGGAAGGACAGCGTCCCCACGCAATACATCCATGTTTAGCACAGACGCTACATTCACACACATTTAACTCCTTCATTTATTTGTCACGATTTTGGTTAACATCTCTCCCCACCTCCCCCCAGCCAGAGGAGGGGGTTGGTTGTCCTGCCTCACCTGGAGTAGTACAGGGCAGATACAAATAAAATTCTGAAAACTTCTGTCTGAGCTTGAATTTCTTTCTTATGTGGTCTGACTTGCCTCTGTCTGTACAAATAATTTACATGTAATACCACATACCAGAGAACTCCGCAAACAGATCACATCACAAGATATTCTATGAGAGGTAAACGATGTGCAGAACTTTGAGTTGTTTTTTTCCCTGACTGGGTAACTCGTCAAAAAGCTACCAACTATTCAGAAACCAGGATGGGAGGACAGGAAAACAAAGCACTCTAATGGAGATACTGCCACCTTCATCCTAGCTTGCAAAGTGTACAACAGGGAAAGACGAACGGAAGGGAAGAGATGAGAGGGAAGAAAGCAATGAGAGGAGAAGTAGTCAGCGTGGATCCAGCAAGTACCATTTTGTTTTGATCTAACAACCTGCCATTAGGACAAGGTGCTCCACATTTACACACACACTTATCAGAGGACGTTTAGTTAACAGGATAAAAATCCTTTAAAAAACAAAAAAAACACTCTTGAAAGTACCAAAACATAATTTTCGGAATGTCTAATTCTAGAGGGCTTTGTATTTGTATTCAATTCAACCTGAGAACTTTTTTCCCCACTTATGAAAACATTACATATTGGTAAGGTACCTGGCATTGACCTGCACCCTCGTTTAAAATAAAACTTTTAAAGTAGGTACATACTCCATTCACAGTCTGTATCAGCAATTCTACAGACTTCAGATGCTGTGGTAGCATCTCTGATAAATACATTGTATCATACGATACAAAAGAAAAACAAAATAAAAGAGAGGACAATCTCGCTACATTTTTTTTTTTAACTTCAGTTTGTTGCTGGACCAACAAAAGAAGGATTTACCTAATCCTTCTAAAAGATGTTGTATATGCACACACCAAGAAAATACTGGAAACGGAAGAGGTTAAGGTTGGTGGTTGTTGTTTGTTTTTTGAAGAAGTGATAAAGTAAATCCGAAAAAAGGTGCAGCAGCATCCCCTTTTCCTTCAGATTAACCACTTTGCCTTTCAAGTAACATCTTCTCCAGCTCCCATCACCCCATACTTTCAATTTTACTGGAATAAAACCCAATAATATAGACAGATTTAGGTGTCTGACATTGGAATACAGTGAAAAGGGGATACTGCGTTGTCCATAAATCAGTGAGTACACCAGGAAAAAAAACAAACCCCAAGATCAGAATGGAGGAGGATTCTTTTAAATGAGCACTCATCAGACATTCAGCCTCTGATGGTACGTTGTTAGAGGGAGAAAGCCGACCGGCAGACCATCCAAAGCAAGTCTCCTAAGTTGAAGCAGCAGCAGCAGCTCCATCCCCTCATGCCCGTGCACCGCAGTCAAACCACGAGCGCCCTCTCCTCTCTCCTGGGAATGATGCCAACGGCACAGGCAGCCACTGCGGGTCTCCGAATGCACGTGGTGGTTTGTGTTGAAGGAGAAACACTGGCAGCAGAGGATTCTGGTTCCCAAAAAGGTACTTTTTTTCCCACTTGTGTTGGACTGGCAGTTCCATTCTGCTCCACTTTTAAGCTTATGGATATCTTTTCTAAATTACTTTAGGTTTTGCGGAGCAGAACAGAGTTCTGATGTTAAGAAACTGTAGGAACACAAGACTTAAATAACAGAGTGGGTGCTGCCATGGTGCTGTGGCTACTTGAACGCTGCAAATTCTCCTGTAGAGGGAGGACAAGAGCTTGGTTTAAATAGGCGATTTCAGCTATGGGGTGGTCAGAGATTTTCTCCAGACTATTAGGACATTAGGTTGAATATAAAAGGTGTTAAAAAATGCAAACTGTTAAAATTAAAGCACAACAGAATACATAGTGAGAGAACACTGAACACAGACCCAGCATATTTTACTGAAAAAGAATTTCTTGAAAGCAAGCTGTACCCATTCTTCCCAAGACAGAGATCTGAAAGTTGAAGCAGTTTCATTCATCATGCATTTGAAAATAAAACGCGCCAGTTTAATTTCACTTTAAACTCCCTATTGCACATATATTCTCCTGAAAAGCAACAACTGCAATAAATGCTTCATGCTGCAAACTAATTTCTGTTCTGCTGTAAAACTGGTTTATTAACAAAGAACCATTTGACACACCTGTTAACCTTGAAAGACTAAATAAAGTGCTCGAATATTAAACCAGTGTTAGAGAATGCTAGAATCTAGTTTAGAGACCAATATAACAACCTATTGTGAGAAAAACAAGAATGGTGGGATTGTCTGCTCACTCCCAGACCAAAAATTAGGCCTTGCTAATAGGGAGCACAACAAATAAAACAACCTCATGTTTCCTTCAGAATTACTGAATAAACAATAATTCCATGCAGAAAGCACTGCAGTGATCTCCTGAAATTCTACATAGTTTATTTAGTGTCAGCATGCTGTGAGACAGACTGGGAGTCCTTTTCAGAGATGAAACTATGGCACAGAGTAAAATCACTGGCTGAAGTCTTAAGAAGTTTGTCAGAACACTGAATAGAAGCTGTATCTAAGATATCCATCCTCTTAATTGTATACTTTAGCCAAAACATTTCCCTGCCATCCATAAAGAAATTGTACCCTACAGGGCTTTTAGGGAGGGATATCCAACTATGCCTAACCAAAAGGACTCAGAAGCAAGAGAAGAAGAAACAAATATGTAACTTTTTCTTGGGTTTCACATGAATTTGGGGTTAGTTTATGCCCCTTTCCTGACAGCACTCCTTACAGAACTTTCCTCATAATGACGGAGCGATAAGCAGACATTTGTTCTGTTCAACAGGAGCGTGTTGAATTCCACTACATCCAAGCAACTGCTCCCTATCTTAGTGTCCTTCCATCCTTTCAAAAGCAAGGGGTTTGTTAGCTTTGTTTTTTCTTAAGATTCTTATTCTGAACATTGGAAACCAACCAGAAATATCCCTACAAAGAGAATTTTAGGCTGGTAGCATTAATTCCTTGCTCTATGAAGAGAACTGAGAAGAGTGTTCAGCAGTCTGCACGAGGAAGAAGAAGAAAAGGCATCCACAGGATCTGGTAGGAGCAGCTGTTCTAAGGGAACATAAAGCAAGCAGGGAAAGGGGGAGAGGGCTGTGTGTGTAGGAAATGAGAAGGGAGTACCCTCAGGGCCTAAAGTAAGGGTGGCTGGCACAAGCTCAAGCTCTGTGTGCCTTGAAAGACTGCGGCGGTAGGTTCAAGTTATAACAACAAAAGAATAAAATCTTTACAATGTACCTAATTGCCTATTTCGTTAGGTCTACCAACAGATAAAACCCTTGCTCTAAAATACTCTAAATACTGATAATTTTTCTTGCTTCCCCTTGGCACATTTCACTGATCTCTGAACTCTCTTCACAGTATCTTCTAGAAACACCTCAATTTTTGTACTGTTTCTTTTCTTTTAAAAGGACAGAAAAAGTCATCAAGTATTGCCTATGAGGCTAATTTTTAAGAATGACATTCATGCTTAGCTACACTTTGAAAACATGTTCTACTTAATTTATTTTTCAGTCTGCTTTCCTAAACTGCTGATTAAAGATCAATTTATAAACAAGAGATTGCTCCCTCATTACTCATCTTGTCCTTCTGCCCATTTCTGGTAATAATTCAGCTTTTAATAGTCATACAGGGATTTCAGAAAATAAAACATGAACCATTAATTGGGAAAGGGCAATGGAAAAACAGGATCACAAGTCAAGAAGCATTTCAGCTGGACTGGTAGCTATAAAAAAAGTGATTTTTTAAAAACTTTTTTTCCATTTAAATAAGACTTTGGCAATGACATTGACAAGCTAACACCAAATCTCCCCTTTCAAAATTCAGGTGCTAATCTGATCTCAAATCAACAGGAGACTAAAACTGGTAACATGTTCACCTAACAAGTGAACATGTACAAACCGTGGTTAGCAGTAACAGCTTTCCCTAGATGAGGAACATACATGGCTATACCTATCCACGTACAGGAATCCTCGATCCTGATAGGTGTCAACTGGACTTCCTGAGGCCTAGCTAAAAAGCTTTCTGTCACCCTTTCTATTCTGAAGACGTAAACTATCTGTGGCTGGTTCTTTTATCTTCTGAAAGAAACTCCACCCATAAGAGAGGGTGAGAGAGAACAGGCAACCTCTTCCTGAGGCTTAGATGCATACAGATAAATTAGAATATTGTGTCCAGCTCTGGGCCCCTCAGTTCAAGAAGGACAGGGAACTGCTTGAAAGAGCCCAGCCCAAGAGCCACAAAGGTGATTGAGGGAGTGGAGCATCTCCCTTATGAGGAGCAGCTGAGGGAGCTGGGTCTCTTTAGCTTGGAGAAGAGGAGACTGAGGGGTGACCTCATTAAAGTTTATAAATTTGTAAAGGGCGAGTGTCAGGAGGAAGGAGCCAGGCTCTTCTCAGTGACAGCCAATGACAGGACAAGGGGCAATGGGAGCAAGCTGGAGCATAGGAGGTTTAATCTGAATACGAGGAAAAACCTTTTACTGTAACGGTGACAGAGCACTGGAACAGGCTGCCCAGAGAGGTTGTGAAGTCTCCTTCTCTGGAGACATTCAAAACCCGCCTGGACGTGTTCCTGTGTGACCTGGTCTAGGTGATCCTGCTCTGGCAGGGAGGTTGGACTGGGTGATCTTTCAAGGTCCCTTCCAACTCCTAATATTCTCTGATTCCGTGAATGAAGTAACCCGAACTGTGAATTAACTGTTTTCTAGCTGGTCAGGAAGGTCTTGTCTGAGAGCAAAGAATAGAAGAAACGATGACAACTTTAGGAACTTGCTCTGATATGCTCTGTCCTGCAGGAACGACATAACTCCAATTCTGCCCTGCTAAGTCTTTGGATGCTGTTCTGTTGATGGCCAATGCTAATCTGAACTGGGACTACTGCAGTCCCACTCTCCCTCCTGACTTGAGCTGTAGCGCAATGACTTGCACGTTGTGTTACCCTGGCTCTATCTGTCCCTGAGGCAAGACAGCTCAGGGAGCTCACCTACCAAATGCTAGCTCAGGCTGAGGGACAAGGAGAGTTTTTCAATCAGTTTTGGAGAGCTGCTGTGTTGATGGTGAGGGGAACACACTCAAGTGTGCAGAACAGACAACTTATGTCCTTTTTACCAAGCAGAACTTCAGATACTTGCTTTAACTGGTAGTAAAGAAACTTCTTTCCAAAGGATGGACAGCATTTGAAAATCCACACTTCTTACAGAGCCCTTTCAAGTTAATCGCTACAGTCTTTTCAGGCTTATCACATGCAAAGCAAGTGGAAACTATTTTAAATGCACGCTTTCAAAAAATCTGTTCTAAAAAGATGATCCAGCTCTTTCATGTTGCATCCAAACGACGTATTATAAGGGCATGTTCTGAGCAAACCTGCTGCCCCTGATTCCTGGAAGGATTTAAGATGCAGCTGCCAATCTCTACTCTCACAAGTTTGTAAGTTATCTGGATTCATGAGGTTACAAAGGTATACACAGAACATCTTAACTGTACTCCTTATCCTGGGGTAGATGCCATGTTTCTCAGAAAAACAGTAATGAGAAGAACAGTTCCCTTCCAGGCCTGTGCCATCCTTGGGTACTGAAGTAGAGAGCAGCTGACTTAAAGGGAATCACAAAATTCTAACACCTTGCCTGGATTACATACCCAGACACAGAAAAATGTAGGACAAAGAGGCAGTTTTCTGCTGGATCTTGTGCTGATCTTCTAGAATGAATAACATCCACTGGTTAAATAAAAATTTGGGATATACACCGATGTGAAAAATTAGCATCCTCAGAAGAATATACAGCAGAGTTTAGGAGGATCTGGTCCTTCCAGGAGGTACCAAGACAAGTTTTGTTTCTACACTGAGATGCAGGGAAGTAAAAAAAAAGCAATCTCACATAGTATAATCTATCCCTCCAGAAAAGCCTGGGATCCTACAGACTTGTTTTCAGGATCAACAGGTATCTGTTTCTAAACAATATGCATCTTTGAGAGCACTCATCTAAATCCACAGATATATTTAGGCATCTTCATCCTACGTTATGTTCCCAAATCTTGTTGAAGCAGCAATTGCAAACTACAGACGTTAAACCCCTAAATGCCCTTATGTCAGATAAAGTCAATGATCCACAAAACCCAGCCTCCTTTTAGAATTCATAAAGTGTTTAGTGAGAAACTGAGCTCACATCTCATGGCCACTGATCATAAACTGTGCTCAACGTGTACGAACCATTGACATGGGAAGACTTCTAATGCATTGACCATACAACAGGAAATGAGGTCAAATGTATCTAAGGATGGCAGCATTTTTTTACCCACTGATTGCAGATCCTACAGCACAGAAGAACAACCTTCACAACAAGGAGGATAACACTACTCCAAGGTGTAACTTGTTTGAACTGATCTGGTAGACCTGAGAAAGAGCAGGCCTGGGCAGAGCAGTGATGATGGTTCTGCACTCTCTCTAAGTCCCCGTGTGGTTAAGCCTTTTCTGTCTGGGATGGTGCCTTTCTAGATTCAGCAGGAGTCCCAGCAGCATCCTCTTGGCTCTTACTGAGATGGATGGGTATTGTAGCCTGCACTGAGTAACATACCGCAAAGTGTAAGAAGCATTCCTCCTCACTGTGTAGAATTAAAAAATTAATGAGTAAGAGGAGAAAAAAAAAACCCTTAAATCCTATTTTCATGTTAAGATAAGCCTGCCAAAATGAGATGATGCTACCAGAAAGATAGAAAACAGATTTTCTTAAACAGTAACAACTTTCATCCTCTGTAACTGTCCTCACAGAGATAGATTTCAGGAGCTGAATTTTCTTGACTAACAAAATGAGAAGTTAGTTCCCAAACTGTTCTAACAGCAGAAGCCAAAAAGACCATTAGAATCCAGTCAGAAAAAGTAGAAATTGCCTACATCTCTTCAAGCTCTTTAACTCTGCCTCCTGTTTTAAAAGGCTCAGTTGTCAGACAGCAGAAAACCTTCCTCTGAATTCCTCACCTATTTCAAAAACCTATTGCTAGCAACATGCAAACTTCTCTGTAAGTATGTAAATCAGAAGCCATTGAGAACACTCCTAGCCCTTGAACTCCTAGCAAGAGCATCAACAGCTTGTTTCCGATGCAGAAGAATCTGTGAAAATTATTAGCTTAACAGTTTAAAACAAACCAACCCACATAATTAAACCAAAATATGCAAGAACACAGTCAGCAACATCACTGTACTCGTATCTGCCATCAAAGACTGACGTAACCTGAACCACTGCTCTGATTCACCTGTTCCAGAGGAATGCTCCAGATTAAAATACAATCTTTTAAGTCAGCCGACAGGATCCTGGTAAGGTGTCTAGCTTTCTTGGTTAGGTACCTAGTCTACCTGATTACCTTCTAGTCAAACGAGCAGCTTTGATATGGAAGTGGAAAAAACCCCCCAATTTGTCATTGAACAGAAGCGTGTTCAGTAGTATTCTTAACAATATTAAAGCAATTAAAACATTTTATCTTAACGGAATTCATGGTATAATACTGATTTCCATGGAAAAAAACCTGCTTTTTCAAATCCTCTCTTCCTACTATGGGTGTTAGCAGCCACCTTCTCTTCAAGTATTTGGTTATGCTCAAGATTTAAAATGTTTTTCTTTTTAATTTTGAAATCCGTGCTAATTGAAGGATACAGGTACCATTACCAGTAATATTCTTGCAGTTCAGCCAAAGCAGATTAAGAATTTCTTGTTGTGTCGCATTGTAATAGAATGTTTTGAGATGGCCTAAACTATAGTAGGTCACAGGATTTAGGCAAAAAATAAAAAGTAAAAAAAAAACCAAACAACAAAACCCATGCCACCACTCCTTTTGCAGGAAGAGGTGTTCTCTATGCAGCACTGTTTCAAACTTCAGCTTTCAAAATAAGATTCACACATCACTACGGACTTCCTTTGGATTCTGTGTTGTATCTGCTCACTTCTGCTCGCCACCAGAAGTTTTGACTGTTCTCAGCCTTGAAGCTAAGTTTATTTTTCCAACTGTTTCCCACACAAATAACATTACTAACTGAGGAATCTAAAGCCTATTGCTCAAATATAATGACCTCAACTGAAGATAAAAAAAAAACCCAAACAAACCAAACAAAAAACACCATGGCTTGAGTAGATTAAAATCAAATCCAATCAATAAACTAGGCAAAAATGACAGGCAAGCAAAAATAACACCCAATGGCCTTAAGAGGATTTTTGCTTGTTTTGTAGTGACTTTCCCCATTTCTCTTACGTGACCTTATAATTCTTCTTGTGCCAGCTGTTCCCACGGCATTCCTTACCAACACAGACTTTGTGCCTGGAACATTAAATACCCACTGTCAGGAAGTGAGTATTCAATTCCCTCAGTAAACCTTAAAAACATTGCTGGTAGGAACTGCGAGCGTACACGTGTGCTGCACGCACAGGAACACACCAGCCCACAGACACACACTTTCACATTTCTTTTTCAGTGTACTGGAAACCCACCGTATCCCCCTGCTTGGATGGGAGTTTTTGGAGAAGCACAAGCATATAGACTAAAATCCTCTGTCTGGAAGCCAGCCCGGTTTAATGAGGGCTCAGATGCACTGCGGTGAATTTTTGGCAACGACCGGGCCAGGAGCTCAATGGAGGCAAGAATCTAAAACAAGTAGAAAACAAGTGATCAAATCTGTGGTTCCAAAGTTGTAACAGTCTCTTAAAACCAAAGGCAGAACATCAATTAAATACAGAAAAATATTTATACCCAAATTTAAACAAAAACTTTTAAAAAATGATTACTGCAATGCACTCGTATGTTTGTATATATCTAAAAGGACATTTTGGGAAGAAGCTGTACCATTCTCCCCTTTAAAAGGGCATACTGATTTCCCTCTTTAAGCATAATGAATATAGGTGCCTTTTATTTCCCTCCTTTTTTATGCAGTAGTTCCTATACCTACCATTGTTGCAAATAAACTCAGCTTTGGCAGCAGCTTGCTTAATATCATTTACCAGAAAGCCAGCAGGGGGAGCTCCTTATTTGTTGAAAATGCTTTGGTTACATTTAAAAAAACAACTAAAAAATTCAAAAAGCCCTTACCCCTCCTCTCCCCCAGCTTTTAGAATCCAAACCTTCCTCAGCAGGCACGATAAATCAAGTTTTGTGACAAAACTATCAGTTTCCCTTCATAAAGCTTGGGGTAGAGCAACGAGGTGGGTATAAAGATTTCTGAGAACGTACACGGCAAGTTCTAAATTGTGTGACTAACTGCGATTATTAATGCCACTGTCTCCCAGTTGGAAATTTCTCCAACACATAAATGCTTTTTGAACTACAGAAGTCATTTTAATACCTGCTTTTTACATTGAAAATAAGCATTTCTAATTAAACAGCACTAACCAGGTAGTGAACCAGTACTCTTATGAAGCCATGCTACAGCACTGATCAAAAAGTTTTGAACTGGCCAGCGAGTTCATAACTGATCTTTATTTAAACATTAGAATTGCAAAGTCTACTGAGAACTAAAGAGGAACACTTCTCACCTGTGGAAAAAGGGGTCTCTCGTCTCTTTTCTTTTTTAAGCATTCTGCCATTAGTCTCTTCATAGCTTTTGGGCAGTTGCTCCGTACTTTGCTGAGGTCTGGAGATAGGTATCCTCGTCCCACCATAAAAATTATCTTTATTTAACAGGGAGAAAAGATGAAAGTGGAAGAAGATGAGTCCATAAAACAAACAGTAACAAAAGCTGAACACTTTGCTAGACCATTTTACTCCCAGCAGCAAGTTTTCTGCTCCCAGGAAATATTATCTGGTATTGAAATTGCCAAGTTTCTTAGAGTAATGCTTCCTAACCTATTCAGTACAGCAAAAAAAAATAAATTAGATTTTTTTCTCCTCCTCGGAGAGATTTCTGTGAAACCAGTAAATGGTTACCATTTATAGCAATAAACATCTAGGGAACAGTTCTTCTGTGTCAGAAACTCTTACAAAACCAAGAATAAGCAACTCTGTGGCAGGAACAGAATGCCTAAAAATAAATATTCCATAAAAATAAATAATCTGTCTTATAACTCAACAGCAAGTTCACCCTGAAAGGTATTTTAAGAAACATATGGACTTCAGATATTAAAAGCCCTTACCTTTTGAGAATAAATTCCTTCATATTCTTTCCTACCACAAAAGCATATTTTTGACATTTGACCACCTTCCCCAACCCACCCCCCAACAAAAGAAAAAAAAAGGAAAGTAAAAAAAAAAGAGAAACTGCCTCTGCTCTGTAAAGGAGGAGTCAGACAGGCTTTGTATTTTCACAGTAATTCCTTTAACGTGGAAGGCTTCTATTTCAACAAAGGATAAAACTTAAGCATAAGACAAAGTAAAGTAATAGAAAACAGGAAAGCAAAGCATAACTATGGTTAATGTTGTCTTGGATACGTAAAAAACCATCAAGGCAAGGTCAAATGCAACGTGGTTTGAACACCGCAGTTGCACTGACACTAAAAAGCCCTTTCAAACCAGCTCATCACAGCTCCATTCATGCTGCAGCAGATAATCACTGCCTTTTCTGAATACTCAGACAGGCCCAGCAGGTGTATCATACCTTCTATTTAATGAAATGTAACTATTTCATATCTTCACACTGGCAAAAAAACCCAAACAACCCAACAGAAAACCTCCACATCTCAAGCAAGGTACCTGTGTTATTTATACTAAGACAAACCTGGTCCTTTTTCAACTTTCTGATTCAGCTGCATCGATGCTGGCATCAAGGAGTATAAAACTCCCACATGTTTTCTTGAGAAATCCCCATGTGCCAAAGTAGCATTTCATAGTAAAGACTTGTCTACTCTGTCCCTTACCTCTGCTGCAATGAGATTTATTGTCATCTAGAAGTTACTTGTTTCTGAATAATTACACTACATAGGTTGAAACTATTCAAAATTCATTATTCTTTATGTTTCCAATACTATATTTACAAATAATAGAGGGATTAAAGTTCTATTTTAAATAGGAAAAAAAAGAATATCAATGCGAGTCCTAATCTGTCTAGAAAAATGTGTAAAGGTGAGAAAAACACTCTGAGGTGTAAGAAGAACGATGCTTTGCTCACTAAGATTCTTAGGTATGTCACAGTAAGTGATGTAGATGTACCAACACAGAGCAAACAGTTCAGCTTTTCAGACTGGGAGTGACAAAACTCAAGACATTAGATCACATTTCCATGTTGACTTTGCTTGCAATTTAAAATCTGTTTCAGCACTCAATTGTAAGTACCCACAGCAATGGGTTCATCTTTCAAATCTCAAAAGGTAAACAATGCCTGAATACTGCTTTTAGAAGTGCATATCTGTATGGCCAGGAATCTGGACATTTCCCTTCTGTCAAAAGGCAAAAAAAAGTAATTCTAAATTTGATGAATTGGAATGAAGTGTTCTGACAAATATGGAAGCAGCCTTATAAAATGGCATTCACAGATGAACGTTGCTATGGTTGCAATTCTCAAGTACTGACAGTGAAAAAACAAGGGATGCGGACACAGATACATAAATACATCACCACCCAGACATGGAATAGTTTACACCAAAGATCTTGATGCATAGATACTATTTTCAGATTCGACAGAGAAATAATGAATCAGATATGCCTTTGCAAACATGCCTCTCCTGTGGAGATATATTACAGGCGTGTGGCATCATTAGACTTAAGGAATATTTGTTCACAATTAAGTAATCTTTTTACAGGATTCACTCACTCTGGAAAGTCATACACTCCATCAAGCAGGATTTGAGAAATGCTGATATCCTGAAATTCTATTAGATGGTGCATGCATTTCTCAAGATTGAAATGAATAAAAAACATTCAGTGAGATGATTACTGTTCCATTTTGTCGGTTCTGTTGCTGAACTATTATTCAATGCAAGGGGAGGGGTGGGGAAAGAGGAATAACTGAACATATGGAGGATCATTTTGCCTTTGCGGAACTATTCTAAACTAGATTACTATTAAGTAACCTGCTCTCTCCCCAATAAGTATCCTGGCAACCAGCTCAGAAGCTGTAAATCTACAGTTGAAGTGAAAAACAACAAAAAGTACCTCAAAAGACATAAGTTAATTGGTGCTATGTGGCTGAGGCACATCTAGAAAATGTAGAAACATCATCTCATAACATCAGAAACACAAATCAAACACACAAAACATCAGAATGTGCACTTCACAAGGCTGAATCCATCTTTGTTTCAGCCTACGGTTGCCTGAAGTCAATCCCTTCCCTTACCTGGTCCCTGTTGTTGATGTTTAGGTATGGTAACTGTCCAGTCATCAATTCATACAGAACAATCCCAAACGCATACACATCCGACTGAAAGCTATAAGGGTTTTTATCTTGCATCCTAATAACTTCTGGTGCCTGTACCACAAAAGGAAAGAATTAAAGTTTTATATCACTACATCAGGCTGCACCTCACATACCAGGAACAAAACATGGACTTGTCCAGAGTGTAACAGGTCCAAGGCTCACTATTTCCTTCAGATGTTACCCAGTCCTAATGTAGAGTGGATGTTGACATGAATCTCAAAATCCATTCGTCTATTTTAGCTTGGTGATCCCTTTATTCCTCTGTGACAGAACAAAATGACCTTGCCCAGGATAAAAAGCTATTTTGAAACTAGAATTACAGCAACGCTGAAAATAATGCCAACTAACAGAGCCTTCAGGTTTTTTGTTCAGGGAGAAAAGGAGAAAGCAGAGTTGCACAAGAGGTTGTAAGTATAATTCTTATTAAGACTTAAGAAAGACGTACGACCTCTTGAGAGTAACCATGCTTGAATCCTTAAAACTTAAGAGTCTCTTTTGGCTGAGCTACTTCCTCTGCTTCTCTGCAGGATGTTTGCCATGGCTTTTCTCATCTTCTTCTCAACCCTGGATTAATCATACCCTTTTTCCTTAGCCACCATTTTCTTCTCAGTTTAAACCTCAGAATAAGGGACAAAGACCCTAAAGGATTTTTCTTCTGACTACTGGAAAACATATGCTTAAAGAAGAAATGAAAAGCATTCATTTAGCACTTCATATTACTGTGTGTCTTTTCCAGCTTAAGACAGCTTGTATATTTGTATTGGAGGGGTAGTCCTAGAAACTTTGGCCAAAGGTAAATAAATTTGTTGTAACAAATATACCACTTCCCCCTTGCTTACCATCCATAGAATAGATCCAGACAACTGTTCAAACTGATGTGATCCACTCCATCGTGATTTCACTGTAGCTAGACCAAAATCACCTATTTTTACTGTGAGGTCTTCATGAAGAAAAATATCTAAGGGAGAAATGTTAAGGGAAAACAAGCAGTACCAGTCCTGTCCCACAAGGACAATAAACAGCTACAAATTTGCAACATTAGACATAACAGTTTAAGCTATCCACTACCACTAGAAAAGGTTTTCATATAATACAGCATAGTGAATTATTGTACTTAAAAGGGCTACAGAAGTAATGGCTGAGCCAGAGCTGAACAAGATCATGGCCCAGGTGGCTTTCTTGAAATGCCAAGTATGAGAAAAGCTGAAATATTCCACAAGTGTAATCTTTTATTACATGTAAAAACCAAATGATGCAAAAATCCTTGTGATACCACAACAAAATGTGCCATGCTACCAAAATCACATCAACATACATAGTAAGTATTCCTTCTTTTCCTACTAGTAATATTACCCCTCCTCAATGAAATCTTAACTCGGCAAATATTCACACACAAACAGCTTTTCACATCAGTAAAGTTCACTTCTGGCAGAAAAAACCAAACCAAAACCACACAGGAATGCTGTCATATTCTACAATCACATCTCTGGGAAAGGATACTATTACTTTTGAGGTCTCTGTGGATGATTGACTTGGCATGCAAATAACTGAAAAGGAACAACATAAGTTAGGTAGGTTAAATGATATTTCACCAATCAACAACTCAAAATTAACTGTATTACTGAAACACAAATTCTGTAGATATTCAAACTGCACATATTTATCTATGTAGTTAAAACTTCAGTTACCCATGACAGTTCAGTCACAGGAATAAAACAAAATAAAGCTTAGATTTCCAGCCCGAACCTGACGCTGCTGAAGAACACAGTAACAATTATGCACCAACTTCTTTTCAGTTCTAACTCAATAATCAGCATAAAAATAAAAGAACTTCAGTAGTTTTTGACATGCCATTCAGTGCTGAGGGTTCTGCCTTCCCAGCCTTAATGCTGACTGTTAAGACACTGTGGGCTCATCACAGCTTTAGGTAAGGTGTTTCTAAACTGTGGGAACTAAATGTGCTTCCCAGTCTCAGTGTGTACTTAAGTATGGTGACTGCCTTTTAGTATAGGACTGGAAAAAAGATCCCCTGATTGCAGATTGGATAAATAGATTGCTGGGAACACAGAGCAATTTGTATTTGCCCCACAGCATAGATATAGCCTACATTAGGCAACTAGTCTCCCATGGCTCTTCATTTAGTCAATGAGATTGGCACAAAGCTGCTGGGAAAGCCCCAGTTTATGTCTCTGCTTTGAATTATGCTCATAAAACAGCTTCTGCATCTCCACTACCTACAGAGGGAGCCTGGGGAGATAAGCAGGCTAACAGAAGGCTCAGGCTGGTTGCTGCAAGCACCTCCCCATCTCTTGACTGAAAATGCAGTAGAATGCTTAGTAGAAAAACGGCACAATTAACTGCAATCATCACAGTGGTTTTCCAGCCGGAGGGCGATTTCTCTGATCTTAGATCAGTGTTCTGATTTTAACACACAATATTGGTCTAGTTTTGTAAATTCTAACTCACTCACTTGCTTGTTATGGGAGTAACGATTACTTACAGTCCTTAGAACAAAATAGCTATGTTTTCTTCAGATGCTGGAATTTTTTATTTAGAAAGCTAAAATACTTATAAGAGAAGGAGAAAAATAAACCATTTTCGTCAACAGGGCTGTCTGCCTTCCATGTTATCTTACAGGATTCTGTCCTTTCATTCCCAGGTTGTTTCTTTTTAAACTATGTTTTACCTCCTACCATAAGATTATCTGCACTGTGAAGATCGTAAAGCCTGGAACAAAAAACTTTGCTCACAAGACTGACTGTTTAACTACACCGTAATTACCTTTATTCTACTATTAAGACTATATTTCCTTGATTATTCATATCTCCCTTTGTTCCAAAAAAAGAACACAAAGTCTATTTTACTAATGAAAATAATAAACACTTCATCAAATGCTTTGATCATCAAGGCAGGACCCTGAGCTTGGCAAAGCAAGCAGATAGCTGGCCTCATTTGCCAGTGTCAGGGAGAGTGTGAAGGGGATAAGTAAACATTGCTCCAATGCTCATTGGCAAACAAGTAACACGATACTTACTCCATGCCTTGTGCAGTCTGTCGTGCAATATCAATCAGTTTGATCATTTCAAATTTGGTCTCAATGATGTGTAGATGGTGATACAAGCTGGACCCTTCACACCATTGTGTAACAATAGCCAACTGGGGTTTTGTTGAATAACCCATGAAAAGCAGGATATTCACATGTCGTGTTTTCCTGTTGGGGAAAAAAAAACAACCAACAAACATCAGGAGGAAATTAGGTAGATTGGGAAATCAGGAAAAACCCAGGAAGAGTTACCACAACCTAAACATATATTTTCAAACAGAAGTTGTTGGATCAATCTCAATTTTTACTAAAACAATAACAACCTAATGATAAGCTAGATTCAGTTTATTCTAGCAGTTTGCCTTTCTTATCATGACACGGAATAGCTATTCTGGGGTAAGCACTCTTTTGCAAGCAACCCAGCACAGAACTGCTCAGAAGCTGCTGTTACCCCCAGGTCCCCATGGTACAGTGATGGTTTACAGGCAGGTCTGCTTTTGTGTAACCTCTGTCCAGCTATGAGACGCTGCTGCCCATAAGGAAGATATCCAAAATGAAATTCCAGTCTCAGAGGCTTCCAGAAAGGACAACCCTTTCATTCAGAAACTACAACACACTTCCTTGACAAGACTTCAGTTTTTCTTAGTGCTTTATTTGACAAGAATTCTGTACTCTCTCTGGAGCCAGTGTACAAGAAAGGATGGCAACAGGTATGAAAACTATACCTCAATAAGGTTACGATACAAACTTGTTTCCAAACAGCATAGGGAGAGACTGGAGTTCACTACAGGGATTTGGCCAGATTAAATCAAACCTATTTCAAGGATGGAGCAACTCCAGATAGAAAAAACTTCACAACAAACAACGCAGACAGGGTCATCACAGTAGATATCCCAGTAGATACAAGGCCTGGAAAAAATCTACTGATATAAAGTGAAATCCGATTCTCCTCATCCTCCAGGAAAAGTCATCAAATGGACATGAAGAACTAGATACCTCCAAACATACCAGTGAGATACTACAAAAATGAGGCACCTAAGAATTCTGGAGTATTTCCTAGCTTTCCAAGGGGTTAAGGAAAAATAAAGGCAATCTTCCAAGACAGCTCAGGACTGAAGGCAGTCAGCTCACTGTTGATAAAACCTAACAGATCAAGCCTAAAACCTGTGGTTGCTTCTTAAACGTACACTGCTGCTGAAGATGGCAGGGCTCTTTATGTTTTCTTCTATTAAAATACTAATGTGGTAGCCTAGAGCGTGAACACCTTTGTCCTCTCAGCAATGCAGACCAGGACAGTTCTACACTAAGCGACAGTGCCTTTTACAGTTTCAAGGATTTGTCAAGTGATGCCGAGAGCAACTGCTGAGTGAGCAAATGAACAAAAACACACGTTGTCTTGCAAATTCTACCTCAAAGCTAAGAAAGCAATGATGAAGCATAACGGAAAAGGCACAGCTACAGGTAAATCTGGCTTGTCCAGGTCAAACAATAGGACAACTGACTATTTACTGTAACTACTGAAATGATCAACAACAGAGAAAGGCTGGACTCCAGGTATGGGACTGCCAGCAGAAATACAGACTACGTATGAGATACAAGATTTTTGATGTTATGAAGTTCTCTTGATCAGATATGTAAAAAATATGTAGAGATATCCTAAGTAGCACACTCCAGAAAGCCTCTACTTTCACAATTACAGGCTTCAGAGTTTCCAGAACTAACATTTCCTGGGAAAAAGGCTGATGAATCCCCTTTCACCATGTAGTTTATTGGGGATGCTCCTCCAGCACAAGCACCCAGCTCAACAGGTCTTTTTTCAAGAAGCAAAAACCTTCTGTTTTGTTTCTTAAAATTTACACTTGAGGCTGCTCAAGATTGTACTTAGATGCTAACGGTCTCCCCTCAGTAAATATTCTATTGTATTGTGTTGATGGATCCTCTTTAAAAAGCTGAACTCAAAACAAATACCTCATCTGAGGAAGTATAGTCGGTAGACACAAGAAAAGGAAATCAAGAAGTGACTTAATGAGGAATGAATATTAAAAAAAACTCAAAAAGAAGTCAATGCTACTGAACAGAAATTATTAAACACATAGTACGGGCTCTAGCTCAGAACCAACAATTAGCCCCATTCTCCCTCAATCACAAAATGTGGGTGAAAGGAAAGAGGGCTTGACTGTGCCCTGAGAGTAGTACAATAAGCAAAAACCAGTCCTGTCTTGAGTGTGTGGACATATGTATATTCACAGCATAGATGTACAGACAAACACATGTGGGAAAGGAAGAACTAGCAGTGGATATAAAGAAATATTTTAATGGAAAGTTGCATTCTCTGCCTCTAGTATAATCATGGAGGAATAAGACTTAATAAGACCCTGTGTTCCAATGGAGATATGAAATTCATTGATTAATGAAGCATAAATCTACACACATTACTTTATGCCATTAAAAATATTCTTACCTGAGCACTCCTACTTCATTTTTGAAAGCCTGTAACTGCTGAGGTGTGGGTGCCGTAACATTCAACATTTTCACTGCCACATCACCTTTAAAATAGCAATTTTTAGTAAGTGCAATTGATACATATTTCTCTATTGAGAAAATGCTATATAGTGCATTTGAAATATTGAGATACTCTATTTTCTAGCTTTCAAGAAATAAACCTCTACAATATTAAAGTAAATATTCTGTAAAATGTATAAACACTATTCTTATTTTACTTTGAGAAATCTTAGACAACTCAAAGCTTTTCAAATACACATTTGAAACCCTCATTCACCAAGATGAACACGTCAGCATTTTTAGTAACAATGTTTCATCTGAACTCTAATTATGTAATTCAGAAGACCATGCAAGAATCACACAGAATCACAGAATCACAGA